CACGCCCGGCTGATTTTTTTGATTTATCGTAGAGATGAGGTCTCGCTGCCCAGGCGGGTCTCGAACCCGCGGGCTCAGGCAGTCCACTCACCTCAGCCTCCCAAAGGCGCGGGATTACAGGCTGAGCCACCGAGCCCGGCTTCAACCTTCAATTTTTTTTGCATGATTATTGATTTTCCTGTAATTAATTGAGCTCAGATCTGAAAAATATCTATTGAACACTGTAGTCTAATGGTTATTAAATACTAGCCATAATGCATGTTCATTTTTATGTTGTACTTTTTTTTTCTTAATTCCCTTAAAAACAGCAAGCTTTAAAAGAGGTTGGGAAAGGGTAAATGTAATAAGCTTTTTAAAAATTTTTAGTCATATCAAACAAACTTTATAAACAAAGTCCGAAATGAGAATCATGACATTCCAGTGTTTTTTCTTTGGGAAGGCAGAGATATGGATGAACAGGACAATCACGTGTGTTTTTAATCTTTTAATGCCTGTATCTATCAAACTATCATTTGTCTCTCTTGTTTCTTTTGCCTTACTCTCTAGGTCTCCTGTGGTTTGACTTTAGGGAAGTGCAAAACTGTTCTTATACAAAAGTTGGGGAATCAGAGTTTTTGCAATGGAGGCATCATAGTCTTGTGGAAAGAAAGTGTTGGTAGAAGACAAACCAAAGTTTCAAATTCTGACTCGCCCCTTTTTGTTGTGTGTCCTTGTGCAAAACACTTAACCTGTTTCCTTACACTGTGGTGTGAGGGTTGGAGAACAAATTTAAAGTGCCGGGCAAGTAGTAGGCTCTTAAGTAATGATGACAATTATGATTATATGACGGATACCAGAAACCTTTGCATTTATGAAATCATAGTCAATGATCTCACCACTAAGTTTGTTTTGCACTCAGACTTTCATAGTTCCCTTTAGTGGGTTTTCCTTTAAATGCTCTCCCCCCTCTTGATTCCGTTCACCGTATCCTGAGAAATTAGAATTGGCAGCAGAAACCTCCTTTCCTTTAGAACAAGAGTGGGCCCTCTCCCAAGGTCTCAGTGTGCTGTGTGGGACCATCCCTAACCTCCAAATTGCCAAGGGTGCACCCCCGCCCCAACTAACATTCTAGTTGCCTGTGTGAAGGAGTGATTTGTTGCGGCCTCTAACTGCTTCTTCTCTTCCTTCCTTTTTGTCATCCTGCAGTGTTCTGTGCCAAGGTCTTTGTGGCTAGGCTGCGCCAACCTGGTAGAGAGCATGTGCGCACTGAGTTGCCTGCAGAGCATGCCCAGTGTCAGATGTCTCCAGGTGCCTCTCTTCTTTCTTGTTGTAAATGTGTTTTTACGTATGCCATGAACATTTGTTGAAACTTGCAGTAGTGTGTTTAATCCAATGTTAAGTCTGCTAAATGTTCTGTGTAACCCTCTGCTTTCCTCCAGCCTGGGTGCCCCGCATGGAGGAGTTAGTACCAAGAGGGGCCCTTCTGAGCAAACAGGGTGGGCTGGACCCTGTCCTTCTCCCCTTTCTGCTCCTGCTTTTGATTCTTTCCCCCTTACCTTAAGGTTGCAATTCTCATGTTTAATAGTTGTGCATGTGCCAAAAAATCCTGGCATTTTTCATTTGGCTACCTTTAACAAGTCTTTGATGAGTGGGGAGGGTTTAATAATTAAAGTGGTGATTTTTCTACTTTGAAACACATCCTTTTGGCTTGCTTCTCTCCCCCCTTCAAAAAAGGAGGGGCGAGGGAATCTCTACTGGTGTAAAGCCTCAAATTGAATTTTATAAAGATCACAGCTTTATGCTGCCGATAACTTGTCAGTTTGGGCCACCTCCCAAAGACTAAATCTGATACCTGCCCTCAGGACTCACTCAGTTTTCCAGGCCGTGGCTGGCAGAGAATTCCACAGATAAAAGTAAAACTTTGGGTGGGTGGGAAGGGATTGCTCAGGATAAAACTGTTAGTGGTAGTGGAGTTGGTGAGCCTCTCTTGTTGGGGTGGTTTCTAAGAGAGCCAAGGCAGAAAACATTGTAGCTTTATTTGTGAAGCTTTGTTTAGAGCAAGCATGTGTTTAATTATGGTTTCAGTAGCAATATTCAGTTTTCATCACTGTTTATTCCAGACATTTTGATATATCTTTAAAAAGCAATATTAAATTCCTGGCATCCATTTGAGACTGTCCTGTTTTAGGAAAACAGTGTAAAATTAGGCATTGAATTAGAGGGATGTTATGATGGCATGGGTGACTTGACTGATCTCAAGGTTACCTTTCTATTCATGTTTACAGTCTTCAGATGGAGCTAGGGAGCCAGAAAGAAGGAAACTGTTCTTCAAATTCGAGTCAGTCATTTTATTTATTTTTTGGCAAACATTCTGAGTAGCATTGATATTGTTATTGATGCAAATTGCTTTCTTTAGAAAACTGTATAAGCTCACTAGTGCAATTAACTAGAGAGTGAATGCACTATAAAGCCCAGTTGTCTTTATATATATATAAAGGTGGCTCACAACTGTAACTGTACAGGAATTGGGTGCTTCAGTGAGGCTTTAGTGTAATGAATGTATTTTTATCTTTGGAAAAGCAGCTTCCCTGCATGCAGTGTAACTTTAACAAATGTTCTTGAAATGGCTGGCATTATTGCATGTACTCTCCTTGGTGCTATATAATGGATATTTGCATTATAATAATGGTTACACTCTTGTCTCTATTTTTCTGGGAAAACAAACAAAAAATAAATGAATGTCACAGTTGGTTTTTAGTGGACTGACCCTCTTTTTTTCCAGAACTGGAAATTTAAGTAGGGGATGAATTGTAGTTGTTAATGAGGTCTCGAAGTGCAGATTTTTAAAAAATTGCATTCTGTTAAAAGTAATTGACCAATGGAAGGCATCATTGACTATATTTTCGTAACAGTATTATGACTTCTCTGGAGGTAGGGCAAGTGGAAGCAAGTATGGCTTCTTACCTTGTTGAAAATGGAAATCCAAATTTGTTAAAAGTTCATTGATTCATCTCTTTCAGTGATAGTCATTTAAAAGAAAAAAAAAAGGAAACATTGCCTTGATTGGATGTTATTTCAGTGAGGGGGCAATATTGTCTTTAGTGGTGTGTAAGGTATTTTGTTTACTTAGGTTTTAATTTTTGCTAGTATTTAATTGAGGGTATACAGTGCAGTAAGATGAAATAAGTACTCAGCTGATTGGAATCAGCAAGTCATTACCCTATTTTGTTCCACATGTGAATGGAAAGTAAACATTTATTAATGAGCCTAGAAGACTTCCTTCCACTCCACGTATTTGTTTGCTGCATCCTCCCCTCTCCCTCCAGTTCCCACACAGTGCTAAAATTTCGTGCTTTCATTTGGGTTTGGGCTTTCAGATAGTACTCCCTTGCTTACATGCTGCATCTGTGGTTTATCGCAAAGGTGCCTCTTCCTTGACACTGCACACTTCTCTTGGCAAGCTCATTTCAAGCAGGCCTGAGAGAAGGGGTAGATTGCTGAAGAGGGCTGGCCTGGTTAACTTTGCATGGGCTCTGGAGTTTCTTGACAGGGTCCCCCTTAAATTGTCACATTGGTCCCACTGATAGTTGTAAATTTGACCAATTGCCCTATGTGACTGAAATAGTGTACCTTTTGAAAAATAGTTGTGAAAATAGTTGTCCTTAGGCATAATTGAGCCAGTCTACTTTCTGCCATTTGTGAGAAGGAAAAGGGGTATCAGAGACTTAAAAACCACTCACTGCCTACTCACTTGGTGCTTCACATGTATTAGTGACAATCCTGTGAGTTAGGTGCTATTAATGTTATCTTCAGTTTGCTGATGTGTAAACTGAGTCTGAGGTGACTGTTTGACCCAATTTAATATTTACATAACTGGAAAGTAGTAGAACTGGTATATGAACCACATGTTTATTTGCCTGATTCCCAAGCCGGTTTTCCTTCCCCTATGCTACAATGCTACCTTTCTAGAGTTTTCCATCTTAGTTTTATTTGCAGAAACTTTACTTTTGATATGTGTTGTGTAGTTTATTTAGTCAATTTTCTATTTTAAAACAAAATGGAAAAAACTTTTCAAAGTCTATAGGAAAAAAAAAATTGGCATTCTGTTTGCCAAAAGTGCACATTCCTGGACCTTAAAACTAGTGAGGTTCCTGAATGTACTTTCTGCTAACTTAATTCCAAGACTATTTACTGAGCAACTGGTATGTGCCAGGGCCTCTACGGGTGCTGGGCATATAAAGGATGAACAACACAGACTTATTCCCTGCTCTCAAGGAGCCCATTGAAGTAGCAGACCTGTGTATGAACATCCAGGCAGAACCACGAATGGAGGCCAGGCATGTGTGCATGTGTGTGTAATAAATCTCTGAAGTTAGCCAGACCTATATGTGTTTTTAAAACAAAGTGAACCAGTTTAAACTAGGATTAACCTACATATTTTAGAACAGTTGAGCTGGGATATCTGGATATTGCTGAATTGAGTCAGTATTTCATTTGCTTAAGATATCCAGAATTGACCAGCTGATTGTTACATCAGATAACCAAGAGTTCAGGCTACGTAGAGTGTTTATTTGCCAAGGCACCTATGGCATGAGAATACCAATGATAATTTATTTTCCACCTTTTTTCTGTGTTTTGGCCTCTAGGCTTTGGGTTATCTCATTTGATCTTTTACAGAGAAGTTATCTATCTTGCCATTTTTGTACATGAAGTTAGAGAACTGAGTTGACTTGCTTAAGATTACACATTTATTTAAGTGGCAGACCTGGGTTATGAACCTAATCTGGATAACTGCAAAGCCAGTGCTCTAGTCACCAGGCTGTAGTGACAACTGCCATTTTAACGTGGCAACTGCCATTTTTAGATTGAAACAAATTCCCCTTAATTTGTAGTGTTAAAAATGTAAAGCTAACACACCCAGGGTGATGTAGACTGACAAATTTTCTTGGGAATGCTATTTTCAGCCTCTCAGCTCAGAGCAAGTGTTAGTGGTAAGCTTTTCTCAGTGGTAGGACTGATTACTTGGAACGGTGTGAGGATCGTGTGAATCAAGTTTTAGTGCCTCCTTCCAAGCTCCAGTGCATGTAGTGCTTGGTGGTAATTACATTCAGCTCTTGACAGCTGCCTTTCTTGTTTCTTTTCTTTCTTTCAGGATTGTAGGGAGCCACAGTGGTCTGAGAATGCTACCATCAGAACTTATCATAGCCACTGACATAAGAGGATTTTTTTTTTAAAGAAGGGAGATAGCTTGGTAGCAAGAACCCTGGCTCAGGAACAAAGAGATCTCAATTCTAGTTCTGTCCCTTCTAATGACTGTGACATTGGGCAACTTCCTTTACTTTTCTGAAGCTCAGTTTCCTCATCTTTAAAAATCAAGGTAGTAGGCCTCCATGTGGTAGCTCACACCTGTAATCCCAACACTTTGGGAGGTCAGGACAGGAGGATTGCTTGATCTCGGAAGTTTAAGACCAGCCTGGGCAACACAGTGCGACCTCATCTCTGTAAAAAGTGAACTGGCCTTGGTGGTGTGCACCTGTAGTCCCAGTTTCTTGGGAGGCTGAGGAAGAAGAATCACCTGAGCCCAGGTGATTGAGGTCGCGGTAAGCAACTGCACTCCATCTGGGTGACAGAGTGAGACCCCAACTCAAAAAAAAAAGAAGTTAGTTTTATTTACCACCCAGGGTTTTTGTGAAGTAGAAGAAGGCAATCTTACTGATTCTTACTGTTGAATGGTGACAAAAATCCATTTCTTTCTTTGCTTGCTTCTGGTTCTTTATTCAAGAAGTGGGAATTCTAGTACTGCAGTCTTAGATTGCAGGGCAGTGTGAGAATAAGCTAAAAGACCATTCATACGATATGCTTCCTCCTGTTTGGTGTTCTCCCTTGTCCAGAGCCAGGGCCTGTCTTCTCAGGCTGCACGTGACTGTTTCATCGCTTGCTTTTGTGTCTTTCCTAATGAGCATTGGGAATTTGGCATTTCTTGTTGATTATCCTGTATCACTCTGGGTCTGATCATGTGAACCTTTTGAGTTGTTCAGTGGCAGAATCTAGTAGTTTATGAACGTTAAAAAACTTTTTCTCTTTTTATTTTTTATTTTTTAAATTTTTTGAGTTGGAGTCTCACTGTCACCCAGACTGGAGTGCAGTGGCCACTCCTGGCCACCGTAGCCTCAACCTGCTGGGTCCGGCAATCCTTCCGCCTCAGCCTTCCAAGTAACTGGAACTAACACGTGCATGGTACCACACCCAGCTAATTTTTTGATTTATTGTAGAGATGAGGTCTCCCCAAGTTGCCCAGATGGGTCTTG